ATATATAATAATACAATAATGATAATAATAATACAATAATACCACCATCACCAAATATAGCCTTTTTTTCTAAAAACATAGAAGCAGAAAAGTTAGTGAGAAGAGATCAATGCTCTGATTGGCCTCATAGGTCTAATTTTACTAGGGTGAAGTACCTGTGCCTCTCCCATGGTAACCTTCAAAGTCCTTCCTGCTTCCCCATCAGTGCAGCTATAGGCACCTTATTTCAGCAGAACTCCTTCTCAGAATCCACTGATCTCCCTATCCACAAGTCAATTCTGCTAGAAACGTCATTTGTCATTTAGAGCCAGGACACCCGAGAGAAGGAAGGGCAGACCAGAGCTTACTGTCAGTGCCCGCCCCATCAAGGGCAGAAAAGCACTTGTTAACAACACCCAGCTCCAAAGAGACGAGACTCAGAGAGCACAGGAGAAATCAGAGTAACAGAGGAAGAACTTTTTTATTACAGATTTTGTGTAACAGTTATTGTTGTTTGGTGGTGTGCGTTTCTAAATGTAATACCGTCCTGTGATATCAGCACTTTACCCATCATTGCTCCATTCCCAGAGCTCTGTAACCATTATCACAATGAACTGGGGGGAAAAAACAAAAAACCTTAAGTTTTACCCAGCATAATTATGTCTAATCTTTTAGTTAAGTGCTATTAACCACTTGCAATGAAAGGGAATATACCCTTCTCTGAGTTTAACACTGAACTACAGAAGGAAATTAAGTGAAAAAATGGGATACTGGGTATCTCAACTCCTATTAACACTGTCTACCAGAGCATCTACAGTCTCGTGGCCGGGATAAGACCACACAATCCATGTCCTTCATAGTAGCATCCCCTCCTTATTTTAAAACTTTTAAGAATACCTAAAACAAACCTTCAGCTTCATAGTGCTTGGTTTTGAAGATAATACTGCTTCAAGCTGGACAACTCTGGGGAGTCTGTCCTTTGAAAAAGAGATATTAATACCCAGTGCACAAGGCAATGTAGCAAAAGAGAAAACACTGCTAAATAGCGTAGAGACAAAACCAAATACTTATGTCAGTTTGAAAGTTAACATAAATATGCTCATAGCAGTTGAAGAAAAATGTATTTGCAGTTAGATTTCTGAATGCAACCAACCTTGATGAATGCATTTCATGATTACTAGCTGCTAAGAATTAATTCAAAAGATATTTCAATCATAGTCTACCTCATGACTACAGTTGCCTACATCATTTACGTCAGACTGCACAGGCAAACTGCCCATTTGGATTGTAATTCAATCTTAACCACCAGAAGCTCAAGCTGCATTTCCTGCACAACAATGTTAGCATTTTGAACTAGTCACAAAAGCATCAAGGTTGTATCCCAAAATGAACATTCATTCCAGATTCCTAAAAGTTATAACTATTTCAGGACTTAATACTGTTTCAAAAAAAGTAAAAAAATCCTCTCCACAGAGATTCAAAGACTAATGTTTCTAAACCTTGTGTACTACATGAAAGTCAATCTCTGCAATGGGGAAAAAAATAACATCTTGTCCTTCTTCTATAGTTGACGTCTTTGATTTTGTATTATGTGTCTTGCCAACATCTGCTTATCTCTTCTTATTCAGTCTGTCACATCAGAGTATTTCTCTTACATGCATTACCTCTACACACAGGAGTTTTGCAGAGCAACCATTTTATAGGGTGGTTTGGCAGATTTTACACTGGCAAGGAAAGTGTTGCTCAGCTTGCTTTGTTTTTACCTAGCTTCCATAAATAACCACTCATTTAGGTGTTTATGCCCCTTATACACTGTATGATTTTTCTGGTTTTCCTTTATTTGTGAATGGAAGTGGAAATGCCACTTAAGGCTTGTTTTTAAAATATGAATGCTACAAAAAACTAATTCTAGATAGAGGCACTAATGCTTCTCTTTTTTAAGCTTTATGATTTATAGGCAATCCAATTCAATAACACTAAACAATTTGTTGATAAGCGGTGGCTACTATCAACTGACTCTATAAGTACTATCCATTTGTGATTAGATGGTTCCATTTTGTAAATAACCTTCATCTTTAGTACCTCTAAAGTACCTACCTTAGAAGTCCAGATTCACAATACTAATTTGATTTTTAAAAAAGTCCTTCTAAGTAACAGTTCTAATGAACAAGTTACAGGATTGAGTGTCTCAACAAGATTTTTTTCAAAACTGACTTCAATCTAGAGTTCTAGTAAAGGCTAGTAATATCTAATGCCTGAAAAGTTTTATAGTAAGCTGAATTTTTTAAAACATAAAAAAAATAAAGCCTGTGTTTCTCAGCTGGAAATGTGATTGGCTGTAATTCTTTCATTTATTTTATACAAATGGCTAATGATTAGAAAGTGCTGCTCTTGCTTCCCCGAAGGATGCTTTGCTTCATCAGGTCTTCTGGTCCACATAGTGTATAAGATCAAACCACCTCCCAGCTCTCTCCTCTAGCTTCCTAATCTATTTGTACAACTCTTTTTATTATACTGAAGCACAAAGATAAAACCCCAAATATACTTTTTCCCTTTACACCATGGGAGAGAGAATAATGGTCAGGAGGAGGTACGAGGTTTGTCATCTGATTTCTACCAATTCCAGAATTTATTTTAATTTAAACAAGCATGTGTAAGCACAAGCCTCGTTATTCTTTCTGCAGGCTGACCCTGAAGATCTATTCTATCTCTTTCTTTCATCAAGAATTGAAGGGCACTGAATTATGAAACCATCCACGCTGACTTTAAAAAGGCGTTTCAAATCACAAAAAGCAATTTTCAGTATTTTATAATGAAAATTTGGAGGAGATGAGCTTAAGTGGTATATGCATGGAATATTTACGATTTAAAGTAAAACAACTGGACAGTCAAAGATACCATAGACTCAGTTTTGGGCTTTAAACTAATGTTTACATCACCTTCAAACTTACAACTACCCTGACAACCTGCAACAAAAGTTCCCCTCCCACTCTGCCCTACACCAAGTGATTTTCTTCCTCTTCATTATATCCACTAAATCTTCATTAAATCGAGGCAAATCCAAAGGTTTCTCAATAACCCAAATAAAATGTTGACAAGAGCTTTTTTTGTAAAAGTCCTTGATTTTTTAATCCTCATCCCTAAACACGGACTACTACTCACTTGGGTCATACTAACCAGATTATCACTGTTTCTCTCAACTTGTCCTGCTTTATCTGACTCCCATAAAACACAGCATACCGCTCCATTTCTGTAAGTCCTACTATTATTCTCATTTCCCTTTCACCTTATTGTTATCTGCTGCACAGCACACTTGGCCCACCCATTCTACCTTGAACTTCACCAAGCATCACCCCTGCAAGAAGGCAATAGTTGTAAAAACTTCTGTATTTCTGTATTTGCTGAAAAATTTGCATTCTTATACGGATGGTTCCAACACTCATTCTGTAACATTTTTATTTCATTTTTTCCTGTAAACACAAAGGGAATGTTTATTTTAATACACTTTCAATTCCTCTGAATGAACTAGCACTCAGTATCCCTAATCTGTGTTCCCATCTACTACGTGTGCTGGTTTTGGCTGGGATAGAGTTAATTTTTTTCAGAGTGGCTAGTATGGGGCTATGTTTTGGATTTGTGCTGAAAACAGTGCAGATAACACAGGGATGTTTCAGTTACTGCTGAGCAGCACTTACACAAACCCAAGGCCTTTTCTGCTTCTCACACCACCCCACCAGTGAGTGGGCTGGGGGTGCACAAGGAGTTGGGGAGAGGGCACAGCTGGGACAGCTGACCCAACTGACCAAAGGGATATCCCACACCATATGATGTCATGCTCAGCATATAAAGCTGGGGGAAGAAGGAGGAAAGGGGGACATTCGGAGTGATGGCGTTTGTCTTCCCAAGTAACTATTACGTGTGCTGGAGCCCTGCTTTCCTGGAGATGGCTGAACACCTGCCTGCCCATGGGAAGTGGTGAATGAATTCCTTGCTCTGTTTTGCTTGTGTGTGTGGCTTTTGCTTTAGTTATTAAACTGCCTTTATCTCAACCCACAAGTTTTCTCACTTTTTCTCCTCTGATTCTCTCCGCCATCCCACTGTGGGGGGAGCGAGTAAGCAGCTGTGTGCAGTTTAGCTGCTGGCTGGGGTTAAACCACAACAGCAAAACATAATAATTTATCCCTCTACCCTTAAATCTAATTTTGTTTTAAATAATTTAAGACAGATGAGGTTCTACAGTAAAGTTCTTAAATGTTTGCTTTGATTCAGGTACTATAAACTATTTTTCAGAAGAAAACAGGAACAATGGCCTCTATAAAGAATTAGTAAGTTTGCACAGCTCCCTTTAACAAAGAGGCTTTTTGTAGTTTTGGTTTTTGTGGGGTATTTTTCTAAACACGATTAAGGAAATAAAGAATATACTTCATCTGAACTGCATTAAGATTCCCATTCACCAGTCAAGAAAATAAAAACCTCCAAACCGCTGCTTGCTTACTAGCAATGTAGACGTGCAATAATAAAATTCTCAATGCTATTTTAAACACATGTAAAAAGTTGAGAATTCACTGCAAAATGTGTTTCTTACCATGCCTTTTCCATCTATGCCCTCGAATTGACATGCTAGTCACAGCATTTCTTGATATTCTGGATGAAGTAGGTGTAATTTCAACCTGAATGCATCTTGTACCTTCTTTACTAGATTTCATGGCACCCTGAGGCAGTGAAGCTTTTATTGCATTAGCAACCTAGAAGCAAAAAGATGCAGTTAAGTTCTTAACATGAAGATCCAGATTTTAGAAGAAGAATTCCATCAGGGGATTCTTATTACTCCAAGAAGAATACTGCGTACAGTTCCAGTTTAAGGTCAAAAAGCACACTAGCTTTTTGCACAGGTTATAAAGAATGCTGATTGCAATGACCTCTCAGAACTAATACTTGCCACTTTTTAAAACCAAGTTTCCAGTTCAAAGACATGGCTGTTACTTCAGAGTGCTTCTGCACTATCTTCTAAGCTTTTAAGACTTAGAAGCGTTCTACTGAGAATAGCTTGTTCACTAGGGAAGATGACAAAATAACTAAGTACATTGAAAATACCTGCGCGCACACGTGTACATACTTACAGATCTAGGTATGCACACGACCACAGTCACATAGACCTCATGGGATTTAGGTTCCTGGTGTGATGCTGCATCATGCAGAAGGATTTCCGAGACTAAAAATTCTACTCAAAAAACGCTGAAATACAATACCTACCAGCAGAGGTTCTGGATACAGTTCCAGCTGTGCTCTATACAAAATGTCATCCATAGCTTTACGAGCCAGATCCCATTCTCCATTATAACTACAAAGGTAAACATATACATAATAATAAGCATCTATATCAACAGATGAACCTTCCTGGTCACATAACGTTCACAGATTTAGTGTTCCTTGAGAGCTCAATTTAGAGGAGTCAAACTACTTGGGTTCATTAGCAGTAAGCCAGCTATTTAGAGAACTTGTTCTGAAGTAGCATCTATGGAGATAAAGTATTATTTTCCTTGGCCACCATGAGCAGTTTAAAAGTGACATAATTAGTTATTGATCAGCTTGCCATGAAATATTCTGAAATTCAAAACAGGAACGTTTTAATATTACTCTACCTTTTGAGTATTCCTGTGTTACTAGTCTCTAATTATTTCAGTTAACAAGAAAGCTTCACACATTAACGTGATATCAAAGGGTAGATGACATCAGCATTTCACAGAAAAAATATAAGACCTTTTTTCCTTAACTAGATTGATGTCAAAACTAAGCATGCAAAAATGCAGACAGCAGACAACGGTTGAAAAAGGGGGTTTTGAAAGATTTTCACGTCAGCAGTTATACCTATTAAGTGCTGTTCTAGCCCTCTTTCCCCCAGTATGACATAGGTAGCTTCAGCCGACTAGCTGGAGAACTATGTACTCTTCCCAAGGACCTTATTACTAGACACAGCATCTATCCACTAGAACATAAAACATCTCAAAAGATAGGATGCCTAAATGAGTGTAAAAATTAAGCTGACATTTCTTTATTTTGTACGCATATAAAAAAACAACCAACTTACAAGGCATAATAAATCCCTGTTAGCATTTGCACCATGAATTCAGATGAGACTGGAATCCTACTGTTGACTCCCTTGTACTTTCTCACTTGTTGGCGAGGATATCCACAGACACAAATTCTAAAGAAATCATGCATTTGTCATTAGCAAATAATGTAGAACCACCTTTGTACAGAACACTACAAAGCTAGGTGTTTAGTATGCATTTTAATTACAATAGACCCACAGGAAGGTAGCCATTAACAACCCTGTCCTGAAGCAGACTATTTCTTATTATGGGAGAAGGGTATGCCCTCTACTGGCAGAGTTCAAATCCCTCACAATAGAGACGTCCTAGAAACTCTTGTTAGACTACGTGAACATGAAAGAAAACTGCCAGTAAAAGCCATTCTGAATCCACACATTTGCTGCAGAATAGAAAAAGTTAACGGTATTTAAGGAAATTAAGCAGCAGAGCAACTATTAATATTACAGACAGAAACATAAGTGTCATTGCATATAATATGGAAGTTGAATACAAGTTTTCAAGCAAAGAGAACCACATCAAGTTCTGTAGTCAAAACATTTTGGAAATCCAAGACACTGGGCAGTTAAATATTCAATTCATTGGCTATTACTGGACTTCTGGAATGACCTTTAATGACATTAATCAAAGTATTTCCTTCTCCAAAGCATGGATTAGAAGGTTTAGTCTCAGAAAACTTCAATTCTTCAGCTTCAATATCAGAGAGCTTGTAACACTCCTCTAAAATCTATTTTTTTTTCAGAAAAATAATTAAGATTGTATTGTAGTACCTTTGAAATTACATACGTAATAGAGATTTCAGGAGCCTTTTTTTTTTATTAATACTAAATTTGCCACTAACCTACTGCACTTTTTTTCCTCTTCTCCTCTAGCCCACAACTCATCTTCTGCTTTGGCTACTTAAAAAAAAAAAGCTGACAGCACCCCCAAGATCTCTAAGGCTCAGCAACAGTCCCAGTATGTACTTTACACCTAATATGACTCTTCATGCTGGTGTCACCGTATCTCCAAATAAAAACAACCAAAAAAGATTTTAAACACTTAATCAGGAAAGACAGGAAGTCATGCTAGTGATAAAACGCAAGGAAACAAAAAATATTAGGAGATGCTTATAAAGGAAGAATCATAGAATAGATGGGTCAGAAGGGACCTGAAAGCTCATCTAGTTCCATGGGCAGGGACACCCTCCACTAGACCAGGTTGCCCAAAGCCCCATCCAACCTGGCCTTGAACTCTTCCAGGGATGGGGCATCCACAGCTTCTCTGGGCAACCTGTTCAGTGCCTCACCAACTTCATAGTGAAGAATTTCTTCCTTATGTCCAATCTAAATCAACCCTCCTTCAGCTTAAAGCCATTCCCCCTTGTCCTATCGCTACAGGTCTTGGTAAATAAGCCTCTCATCTTTCTTATAAGCCTCCCTTATATATATAGAAGGGCTGCAATAACGTCTTCCTGAGGTCTTCTCCAGGCTGAACAACCCCATCTCTCTCAACCTGTCTTCAAAGGAGCAGTGCTTCAGCTCTGATAATTTCTGTAGCTCTCCACTGCACCCAGAAGTCCACGACACAAGTCTATGTCTTTCTTTAACTGGGAACCTCAGAGCTGGACACAGTACTCCAGGTGGGGTCTCATGAGAGCCAGAGGAGGAGAATAGCCTCCCTCAACCTGTTGGCCACACTTCTTTTGATGCAATCTATGATATAATTGGCTTTCTGGCTCCATGCACTCATCCATAAACCCTAAGCTTGTGCTGACAGTTTTATAGAGTTGGTCAACTGCTGCTCTGAGCATCAGCATTTAATCATAACTCTCACCAAAATTTACAACCCTAATTACAAACTTCTCAGACTGGCCTAGATCAAGATTTAAGTCACTGAATTCAACAATCCAAAATCATATTTAAAAAAAAAATAATTTGCTTAGTTTTGGATTTTGATTTTCAAGAGTAGCCAAACATGTTAATTTGTAACTAATAGCAAGTTTTCCCCTAAATTTGATATTATTGTTGGCCAGACGCACAGACTATTTAAGTACTCCTTCCTTCTTCACTCAGATTTTAAACTCCATTTTTCCTATTGTTAGGAATACATTACTTCAGATTGTATTGTGATTTGTGTCTCATTGTTCAAATGGCTTAAAACTCTAAATTTTTAGAAACCAGAATACAAATAAATTTGTACCTTAAATTACACAGAGTTCACCCTGCAAAGTATACAAACAGCTAGTTAAAACAAAAATCTTTCTTCCAGTTAAGTGAATCAAATTCACTCTTCTGTTAAATATGCTTAAGATGTTGAAACCAAATGAGTTCATCCTCTTACATTTCATTTTGTCCATAAATGGTAAAAGTTAAAGCATAAAAGCTGTTCTTCTGACTCTTACCTAGTCCTAAACCACATGAACCAGTTACTGAAATTACCTAGGTTGAATAACTCCTCCACAAAAATGCCATCCCATTTTCCTCCTCTTATCCCCCAAAAGAGACTATTATTAGGCAACTTGGGCAACACTTTAGTTCCAGATAGTCCATATTTTCTACCAATGGTTTGGCTCAAAGATGACACTTGTAATCCACTAAAATAATAAGCATTTCAGTGTTGTGTAAAGCCCGAGGGGTGGAAGCAGCAGCAAGTAAGTGCCCAGTTTAAATAAAGATGCTAGTTTACATAAAATCCATCTAACCAGGTCATTTTTATGCCAATGCATATATTTATGCATTTACTAGATGCTACTGTACAAGAAAACAGTAAGAATTTTTGGGGGAAAATAGCGAACTCACCGTAGGAATGTGATCAGTTAACACTGACAGTTATATAGAAAAGACCTTAATACAGGCACTCTTTTAATGTGATTGATTTAATGTGATTAAAACTATTGATTAGTTTTAAAAAGCCCTAGTCTAATCCGAGTTACTTCCTCTAAAAATGCTACAATGACATCAGCAAAACTGCTTGGCTTAACATCAGAGTAAGATACTATTCTTATGAAAAGAGACTTAGTAACTGAAGATGCCCAAATGCAAAAAATCTGAATTTACAACACTCGAGATCAGCAAAAATATTTTGTGCTGCAATTGTCACATTTACAGTTAATGTTTGTAAATAAGTACTAGAAGCTTTTGCTTCTTTAGAAAAGTCATAAAAATTTAATTAGATTTACTAGAAGAAAACACATTAATTGTAGATTGCTTTCACACACATCTTCCAAAAGCTACCTAAATTCAACACTGCTCAAACCAATTAAAGGAGTTATTCTATAGATTCTTCCGAGAATTTTTGTCAGGACCACATCCAAATAGGACACTGACAGATATTCTGGTCTTCTGACACGAATTTCCTTGAATCCCTAAAATGATGTCAGCATGAGATTTTCAGTAAGCACAGAAACATGGATGCCAAAACTAGTAGGGAATGAAGAACTAAGATAAAATTCAAATTGCACAGTATCAAATAATTCGGTATCAAAACATTCAACATTTTGAAGTAGATAGACTCGCTTGCATCTACTGGTAATTTGCTTAGATTTTTTCGGATGCTTTTTAACAATTATTTATGCCAAATATAATCAAAACCTAATCAAGCCAAATAAGCAACATCAGTCTCCTGTCAACAAACCTTAGCTTGTAAATATTTTTTACCTTAAATTTTAGAGCAGCACATCTGACAAAGATCTTGTAAAGACTCTAGTAAGTATTGCCAAGTGCTCCAATGCTCTCTCACCTCCTCTGAGGAGGAGAGAAGCTTACAGGCATCCATTACCATGTTTTGTTTGTGTGAGGAACCTGGGAACTCTGACTGGTAAGAAGTTGCTGTAGCTGACTTCAAGGCCTCTCTTGAGTTTCCTGGGTTAATGAGAGCATTCTAATTTTTTCCTTTACCCAAAGTCCACTTTCAAAAATCTAGAGATAGATATATTTACTACCAGTTCTTCCTCTTTGAAAAAAGAAATGGATCAAAAATAGATACTGTAATTAAAGCTGAGGTGGGTTTTGTTTTTTGAAGTAACAGCAGATTTTGGAAATATTCTTACAGATACTTTGAGTATGTCTAGTTTCAAAGACCTAATATAATTTTAAGAAAGTTTCAACTTGCAGAGCATCCAAATATATTTAACAAGCTTGCAATGCAAAATTCACCAAGATTTTAGAAGACATTACTGATTTTATTTAATTCACACACCTACAACTACTTTGATTAAAAACAAACAGTTCCCTTGCTTTGACTTTTCAACAGCACTGCATACAAACCAGGCTATTGCTTCCCCATTTTGAGATCTTGACCCAAAGTTACATAAGAGATACTTTAAAAGCAAACAATACAGCTGTGAACACTTATGAAAGTCAAGTTTACAAGCAGGTTTTGGAAACCTGAAGTTTGTTTTTTCTAAAAAAAAAGTTCAAACTGCATTTCAAGTTGAAAATGCAATTTAAAGTGTAATCAACATACAGAAATTACCTTGAACAAATTTGACACAATGACTGAAGAGAAACTGCAGGCATGTAGCTCAAGGCAGCATTGTAACAGAGCAGAAGGAAAGTCAGCACTTCAAACCTGGGATTTACAAGAAACATTAGAATTACGTTACCAGTTTTATTTTGGAAAACAAAACAAGTTTACGCAGACATTTTCAAGAGTTATTTGAACAGATTTGGTATTTCGTTTCAATAAAATTGACAATTTAATAGTTTGGTTCTGTAAGCTTTTCCTCTTCATGTAGTAATAGGCACTGCCAGTCTTTCTGCATCTACATTTACACGTGTTAAAAAAAACCAAAAAACACCACAAAACACAGCATACATCTATCCACCTTCAGTCTATATGAAAAATTATAAGAAGTTAAAATTGATTAGTGATTCTCAAGCAAAATCCTATTACACAATTTCACCTGTTCTGTGCTGTTAACATCTCCCTCTGAGGATGAGGTCCACTGTATACAACTCGGGACAAACCATGCTGCGATAAAGCTCCTTCAGTGAGAGCCATGGAGCCGATGCTGGAAGGCTAAGGGAAAAGGGGTCATTCAAAACATGTCTGCCTGAAGTCTTGCTCCAATGCAGGTGAAAATAGACAACAATCAGCATCGCCATATTTGTACATTTTCAAAAGGCTTAAGGTTATCTGACTGCTTAGCTGTCTTAGATTTGAGAAGTTATTTTACACCAGGTAAGGAATATGGCTTCAGAATAGAGAGGAAAAAAAAAAAAAAGAGATGGTGCATGGATATTATGGAGTTATGACTATTCAGTCTTGAAGAGGCCTTAGAGACCAGTTAGTAGTACTCAGAAGACTGAGAAATACGTTCCTATGTCATCGTGCAACACATTAAAATCACTTTTCACTTTTATTCTTAACAAACAGGCCCCCAAAGCATGCTGCCTTCCTCAATCAGTAACAACTTTACGTTGTAGATGTCACTTACTTCATGATAGACTGAAGGTTTGGACAAAGATGGAATTGTGAAACTCAGCACTTTGCTATGTCCCTCTTTGTCAACTATCTCCTGAAAAAGACAGACGATACCAATGGTTATACTGTACTATACAAGCCAGACATTCAAAAATGTTAAATGCTGGGTGGAGGTGAATGGATAAAGAAAGCCAATAAATTATTATAGGGACAGATAGGGATACTATAACAATCTGAGCTACAAGCTAGAAATTATCTCAGCATTTGCTTTCTATCAGAGTGCATTTGCTTTGTTTCTGAAAACTATTCAAATGACTTAGCAAAGGGCATGTGCATTTGCATACACAGTCCACCTTAAAAACACTATCTGGAAATCTCAGTATGTTTAAACACTGTATCTTTTTTTAATTATACACTATTTGCTAATTGTGAAGGTTAATGCTCAATAATTCTTTTCTGTAAACTATTTACCCATCAAGTAATGATTCTACGAATAATTTGTTTTGGAAATATTATAGCTCTGGAATGATTCCAACCTCATATGGTTTGATAGTAGCAGACATCATCATATTTGCAAAAGCCAATGTCTGATAATTCCATACTTAGAGTAAAAGAAGCATGGATGCAAAGCTTTAGGGAAGCTACTTTCCTGCAAGATACCACCACAGCAGTTGGCAGACTTCTCACTCCTGTAAGTTAGCACTTCCGCTAACTGAACTAATGGGTAAGGCAAAAAAAGATGTGCCTACATATCACAGAAGAGCACTGAAGTACTTAAAATAAAAAAAACTTCAGCGGTTCCAAAGCAGACCTGACCAATAACCAATACCGCACACACAAGAACCCACCCTACACACACACAAATTTCAGCAGCAGATTTCATACATCCATAGGCAGATATTAGAGAGGAGCTTCAGCGTTTCCTAACACTCATGCCTTGGAAGGCTGAAGGACTAACTTCACATAGTAATTATTAAAACTCATGTCTTAAAGTAGAATATGAAGTGGTAAAGGAAGACTGAGAAGTATCAAAAAGGCATACAGAGCTGTTCAGTCTGAAGAGTTATACAGCTCCTCCGCTCTCCACATAAACCACCGATACTTTAATTTTCAACACTGCTTCTGCATCAGTGTGGAAAATAACATCCTTAATATATGGGAGAAGGGAAGAGAAACTGGCTACATCCAAACTTTTAAAATCTAAAAATATAAATAATTTGACTCTTCATTCAGATTTGTAATTAAGTTTCAGGAATGCATTTCAAGATCTGAAACCTATTAGAAAAAACTGATACCTACAGCCAAGAAAGCCAGAAATATCAACTTCATGCACTACCACTGTATATCTCCAAGTTGAAGGTAGAACAAACCAGTTCATGACCTCAAGGTTCAGCCACAATAATTCCATACCCCTGACAATGTAGTGAATTGGAAAAATTAAGTATTGCTCAGAATAATTTTAATTTCCTTTAGCAAGAAACTGCAGGACTCTGTTGAGCATGTTAATTCTCTCAAGTTCCAAGAGACCATTGTACATATTTTCAGAAGGATTACTATTTGTTTTAGGCTACATCTTTCCTCTTGGCTTTTGGTTCTTGCTCGTTAAAGAGAAAATGAGTATCTAAGCAGCATACCTACTACCTTTTCAACATTGTATACTGAAGAACAATACCATCTTGATTGTTTAAGTTCCAAGTTTTATATGACGTCAACAGAAGGGAAGAAGTCAGCATCAGTAACATGGCATTACTTAAGCATAAGCATTCATTATTCCTTAAAGCAGAAGGGGGGGAAAAAATGTTTCAGAAAAATCAGGTTGATCTACAGCTTCCAACAGAAGCTTGCTGTAAAATTCTTATGACCCCAAGCCGCTAGAGATGGATGGCTATGTTACTAATTGAGGAAGAAACTGTTTATAGCTAAGAGAAGACATTACTGGACTGGTTTCAAGCTTAACTGTAAATGTAATCTCTTCTAGGAGAAAGACAATTGATTATAGCCACATCCATCAACCATTTAATACACCTTCATCATGGAAATAAAGGAGTCAATTGACTTAAGGCGTAAGATATACCAGCTCTTTCCAAGTATGTTTTTCTTCTCAGATACAACTAAGCACACAGAAAACACATGAAGCCTGCACTCTGCCTAAAGAGTTGAATATAAGGGCTCAGGCCTTTTTAAGATGACTCCTGGGTGAAAAAATGGTTTTGCTCGCTCAGTAAAGACACTTGAGATTATTTTTAGAAGAAGGATGGGAGCTGCCTTCTCCAGATTTTCAGAATGGGAAGAAGAGACTTGAAGTCCCATGACTGTTTCACTTCCCAAAAAGCCTTCCTGAAACACCCAGAACATACAAACTACACTGAAGAGAATCCCAACAGACATAACAACACTAACCTTTTTATATCCATAAAAAGACTAAATGCATAACTCTTAAAGGTTCCTTCATCATTTAGTAACAAACAGTATCTTTTCATACAAAATAAAAAAAAATGTCAAGGTTATTACAAAAGGAAAGGAGACCTTTAATTTCTCAAAGCTAAGAAATCTGTTCAGCAGCTAAGAACTAAGACTTTGTTGAAAGTGATTTTTTGTGTTTTCTAGTCACGATAGATGATACCCCAGAAAATAGGGGCAACCACTTCAAAAGTGGTGCTTCTAAAAGCTCTCAGGCAGAATGTAAGTTTAATCACCATACCAAGAATTAAGTAACAAAAAAATTAAGAGGATCTCTTTGGCTCCTTCAGCCATTAGTGCATTAACACTTTCCAGGAACCACAAGAAGAACAGAGAAAATATTCACGAAAATAAAAGAATAAAAGTTCATGTTGCAGATTTCTGTCAAGGACACCAATTTGAAGAGTCAAAACTGAGATACTCAATCACTTCATTTCAATTCTGAAACAAAATTGTTAATTATTCCTTAGTAAAATACTCTACAGGATCCCCCAAAAGCACACCAATGTTTTTAGGCCTGAATAATTGCATGCAAATACAAACCAAGTTATAAACTCCTAGGAGAAGAGCCTCTATGCACCCACTGCTCTGCAAATCTCTGCTGGCTGAGACAGCAAGATAGCACCACATCAATTCTGGTAGAAACTGCAGCGTAAATCGTAGCAATTGTTCCTCACCGCTGCGATAGAACTCAAAGAGCTGATGGCAAACTGGCTCCAGAAGCTGAAATACAAATTACAATTGAGAATGAATAAAACATTACAAGACACTGCAACTTAGTGTGGATCAATCCTTTGGGCAAAACTGTAAACTGAAGTGTTACATTTTAGCTATTAGGGAACAACTGATGGAATAACTGCCCAAGTCACGGGATACACTTTTCATCCCTTGTAACATACTTTCAGAGGGTAAGAGCTTTCCATTCCATGTGAGGAAAGAATTCCAATGGCTCCTTTCTCTCATTTTTGGCTCACTTCCTCCAGCCTCAAAGGCATAAATAGAGCATACTTGTTATCACCACACCTCATACCATGCCCTCTATCTCTAATATACAAGAAAAGTGCATGAACAAAAGGTCTTGCTATTCTAGAGCTCCAACAGTGTACACACAAATTGCTAGAAGCTTTTACTCACCAAGTGAGAAAAACTGCGTAACACTCAAATTCAAAATATTACAGTAACTTGGTATACAGTACAATTAGTTCACTTTTCTACTCTCATTAAAATCTTCTAGGAACTCTGATGCATTTATAGGTTCGAGACAGAAATGGGAAGCCTCAAGAGTAATTTTACAATCAAATTTGTTGATGTAAGTGGAAGCAATATATTGAACTGGAAGTAATACATTGAACTAGAACAAGTTAAGAAAATACTTAAACAATCAGCTTGCACTGTGTTTCTGGATTTAATGCGCATTCTTGTGCTACCACCTACTTCTGCTAGAGGACAAAGCGTTAACCATCATATGTAAACATACAAAAGCTACATTTTTATTTTATCACTTAGATAGGAGATTTCCTAACCCAAGTGGAAAAATACTGTCAAAACCAGCAGGCGCTTTCAAAGCCAGCTGAACTGGGCACTGAACTCTCAAGCAAAAAACTTAAAAGCACATACTTAAAAATACTTTTTGGCAGCAAACACAGCAAATTGTGGATAAGAGTTTGGAACTGTAAAAGGATTTCTTCTAAAAAAAGTGGGGTAGGAAAGGGAAAGAGGGGATTTTTAATTAAATCTTCTAAATCATTTATTTGCAAGTAATAACAAATAGAAGGACTCTATAATCTAAGAAACTACTCCCTGAAAAAGTATCTATGCAGTTGATATTAGGGAACTTTACAAAATGAAATCTGAGATTCCAGCTATTTAGAATCAGTTTTATCAGCTCCAGCTAGTATATAAAAAAAGCATTACATAAAACATGACATTATCCAATTGCAAATCTCCAAAAGACAAGATTCAAATTGTAACATACCTAAAGGACTAGCTTTGCTACCTTGTTTCTTACCCCCAAGATTCAATGTCTTAACAGTTCATCTACATGACTCACAGAAATAGACTATAAATTCATTTCAAAACAAGGAATGTTCGCACTAGTAATAGACCTTCACTGAAATGTATTCCCGCACAAAATCCCCAAAAGTTGCAACCTGAAAGCGATGGAATCCAAACCAGACATGCATTTTAGACTATTGTAGACATTGCACTGAGAAAAGATACCATAATCATTAGAATTGCTGACTCCAGTTCAGAAAGCAAAGCATTACTCAACATCTTTCTGAAAATCCTTGAAAACTGGAATACAGATATGTACTTTACTGCTAGTAACACACAGGTCATGTTTTCCATTTTATTTTAACTACAACACTCAATTCTGCTTTTTGTCTAGGTCACACTTTCAGTTTTTCAATGGAGCAAGCTTTTCAAAAAGGTAAGAAACCCATTCTTCTACATGTTCCTTCCTTTATTCCAGCAAAGGAGGCAACATCTCCAGAAGAACACGCTGGAATAGCTGCTTGCTTTCCTAAGTTTTTCCTCCTGAATACAAAGAAAGATGAGTCAACATTTCTCAGCTCCCAAAGTTACTTCCAAACCCAAAGGATCTTAGCAGGTTTTGGTTCTTTTTAAGAAGTAACTTGGGACAATCTGATCTATACAAAAAAAGAGGAATGTTTAGCTTCCGACAGATAGAGCTTCTCTTTGGAAAAAGCATCTGTGAAAAATCTACAGCAACGGCAAAAAAATCATGCCAAGCTACACTAGTCATCAATTTTAAGAGCAGAGTATCAAAGATCCTTCTAGAAAACTTTAACAGCACAAGCGCTTTCCATCTTCGGTTTACATATTTCACATAATTTGCATGCTTCCTTTAATGAAGTATCAGTTCAGAATGATGTGCTTGAACTTTAAAAGGCGCATAAATAGCTATGACAGGTATCCATGTTCACATCGTTATCTCAGTTGCGACAGCTTTATATCAGCATATATAAATGCATAATCAGTACAAAACCAATTTTCTTCCTCAAAATGCCACCACATGCTACAGCCTAATATCAAAACGCACTAATGATTGCTGCTGTTTCAACATATTGTTTTACCCTAAAATAGTTCTAAAAAAGTATCTAGACTGAAACAATTTTTAATGCTGGAACAGAAGAGTGTCCAAGCAATTTCATCCCTCTTCCTTTTAAGCTGCATCCAAACGTGTTAGACACTCCAAATATTTTCTATTTCCTAAGGCAAATGCCTGCATGGCTACCATCTAAAAGGACGGCACTAGTGTTTTAGGTAGAAAGTAAAAAAAAAAAAATCTTGAATTTGTGAAAAAACAACCCTCTGAATTATTTATTATTTTACTGTTGGACTCTTGAGTTAATTAAAAGTCCTTTAAATCTTCACATCTGCTGAAGACTCTCTTTTTACTGAATTACATTTTTCACCTATCAGTGGCCCAGGAACCTCAAAAGTAACCAACAAAGTCTTTATTAACAAAGCTACTATGAATTGGATATTTCTTTGCTATAGCAAACAAGCAGTTCATTTATCTCTCAAATTGATTTTTTTTTTTTTTAAAGCTAACCACCAGGAAAATGCAGTCACAAATGCAAATACACACGATTACTTTTCAAATGCTTAAAAAAAAAGAACACATCCATCCCCCAAAACGAGATTAATCACAATTTTAAGGTGCAGATAACTATTACATTAGACATACATATGTTCAAAGGTATACAGATGGGGTTGTTTGCTTTTAATCTCAACAATATTCGTAGTGTTCACGCTTTAATCCTTCCCCTTTGCATTCCATACATGAGATAAAAAAGGATAGCACATAGCCTACACTGTAAAGCAAGCTGTCGTTACACAATGCAGCTAACAGATCTCAAACAGCAGTTGAAAGAAGTTACTTGTCTTTTTAACTGCTAGTTTATAACTATTTTCACAATGTGGAAAGCTTCAAGTAGCTTCTTCCACAAAGTGACAGATACTCAGAGAATGGTCCAAATAAAGATTTTAGGACTGTTCTCCCACGGCAGCACAACACTCAGTGTCAACACTTCAATTCAAAGTCTCACTAACAGTGAAATCTTCAATACCTTGCCCCCAGAATTATCCCAACCTTTTCAAGCAGCATTTGCAGGGCCTATAGCAGTAGCACCCTGCTACTAAGGTCCCTGAGAAACCTAGCAGTAGCCAGTAGTCAGAAATCAAAGAACATATGAAAGTACAGATTTGGCTATCAACAGGGAGACTCATCGGATTAATTTACACGTTGATATGCATTCTGAAGACCAGACAGGCTTGACTCAGTAGTTGGAATGACTCAGAATGCCTTTCTGAGCAGCAAAGTAAAATTGCATTTCTTCTTAGCTGGACAACCTGGGAGTTTATTGGCATTCTCTCTGAAAACATATATACTGAAAGCATTTTATCCTGTGACCACTGTTGGCATTATCTCAAACTTTGGAACGGTTCTGTATGCTGAGTCTTTTCAGAAGAGGAATTAAGAACTTGGTGCAGTTTTAAAATAATACACACAAGGTTTGCTGGATGGTAGAAAGTGAGACAATACACTTAAGAAGACACAACTAAAACCAGCTCAGTATGTTCTGAATTCACCTGGACACTCTATAACAAGTGTACTCACAGGGTATGGAACCATTCCCGGCACAGAGCAAACCTGCCCCCTTCCCTCATTTTTTTTTTTCTTTTTCATCATCATTTCAGCAAGGGTACATCCAGCATACAAATGTGTGTATTTATATTGTATGTATTTAAAACAACAAAACCTCCTAAAACCTAAGCAATAACTTAAAAGGACTGCAAACCCCTCTAACATTCTTTTCTTGGGTTGTAATAGACAAGCTTCTGATAGCTATAGATTCACATTCAAGTGATACTGAATTACAGAAAGAATTCCATCAGTCTCAAGCATCTTTTCAATTCCTTAACATATGTCTCAATTCTACACCCAAGTCCTGAAGCCCATGAGTATGATCTACAAGCTTAGCTATGTTCAGTAGGTTACAAAATTTATGAATTGTTTCCATGGTAGAACGTCATTGCTAAGAACAAACATTTTGACAGAGATTCTTCATTTAGTTCTGTAGTTCACAATTAACTAGCATGCAAGGTCTTATTTTATTCTGCTGGTGTTATGTCAGACATTTTGTGTGAGAGATCTGATATACTCACTTCACTCTGTGGCTCCTGAATTACTTTGTAAAGAGATGAAATCAAAGCACTTTTGTCTTTCAAGTTTGTAGCATAGCTGGATATGGATGCTTCTGGCAGTGTCTGAAATAAAAATATTATAACTACTAGAAAATGCAATTTTTATCATGAAAATAAAACAATTTTCCATTACAAGCTACTATTTATCAGACTTTACTATAAACTAAAACTTGTTTCACAGAGAAATCCTTACTACAGAAATCTCGGGTGTTTTCAGGACAACAAAATTGCTAGAAGACACACTGCATTTATCATTTTGCAGTTTCATACAGAATATAATGACAGTGGATGGGAAATAGATAAAAATTAAGTTTCACAGGTGCAACCCTGAACAGTGCAGATCCATATTTTAAGGAGTTGTCTCAAGACTGACTGTACACAGCTAGTGAACATTATTACAGGATATAGCATTACTCTGAAAGAACACAAATTCCAGATGACATGAACAGCTCTTCTCTAACACTAAACAGATCTTCTGCCAGTACTTAAGAGGGTAAAAATCTAATCTTTTTAACAGCCCTTTGGAAGCTGTACATTTAAACTTACTATTCATAACTCTTACAGTACTTCTTATCTGCAGTCCTTCAAACGAGATCATACTCCACTACACAGACATGAAAACACATTCCCAGTGTATCTAAGCGGACCAGAAGCAGAATCTATAGTCAAGTCTAGTCCTTACTCAAACCAACAAGACCATTCATCTGTGATATATGTTTTCACTGCTCTGTATCAGGAAGCATGTAATCCCAAAGAGGACAAGGAAAAAAATTCTTTCAAGCAGACATTTGTCTATACCACATTAGCTCAGCAAAATCCAAGGTTACTATTTTTCTTCATTTTCTACAGCAATGACTCAAACACTACTGGCTAAATATCTAAGAGTATATTACCTTGAACTCTGATAACCACTCCTCCACAACCCCAGTATCCACAGCTAACATCTTCCAACATCCGTTCCAAAACCTTCAGCCTGAAAGAATAAGCAAACACAGTTTGTGAAACCTATGCAGTCACTGCATTAAGCAGATGATGAAAATTAAGTCCCTGTGAATATTTAAAGAATATTATCATGCTTTTACTTGTTAACATTTCGCATGCTGACATTACTTTGAACTTTTATTCTACCTCACTTATGCAAGCTGCTGGAAGCATTAAGCATGGGAGTCTTCACGTACAGCAGTTTAATAAATTCCAAGTATGTATTGCGTGGGAAGCTCAATAAGTCAAAGATTTGTAGAAATGGCATTCTGAAAACAGAAAATATTACCTTCTTAATTTCAATTTATTTTTCAGCTTACAGAACTCAAGAAAACTGTACAGACTAACTGAAGAGAAATCACTGTTTAGGCTTTTCCTAGTCAACTGCTATTCCTAACTCGGAAAAGGTCACTGAACTAAAGGCTGACGGAAAACCTTTCAATCCTCCCCCACCGTGGCAACTGCAAGACAACGAGCCTGCTGCCTCAGCATGTAGCCTAAGATGGACTCCCCTGCCCAACATCCTGCACAATCTCAGTCAGAGCAAGATCATCAGCACTAAGACTTGAACACAAGAGATGCAGAGTGGCTGTTGAGATTCATTTCTGATTTCTCTTAATTTTTGAGAAAACACTTAAAAACAACTGTCCTTTGGAATAGCTTATTCTCAAACAAAGAGCAACATATTGTTAAGACACAAAACTATCAAAAGTTAAAATAGCATATTGTGGGGGAAAACCTAGGCATAGGCAAACTACTCAAAAATACACATTAGCTCATCCAAATTGTGACCATGGATTTCAAACAATGACAAAATTAAATACTCATCTGATGAAAAAATTTAACACTTTGTGAAATGTTTAGTCATGTGAGATATCCAACCAAGTTTTGCTTTCCCAGTTTAAAATTAGTTATGAAGTACTGATACGCAAGTACAGGCTTGTTGATGAATGACAAGCAAGGAAATTTCTAGAGAAAACAGCAGTAGAAGCTGTAATCACCTAGGAGGTACAAAGCAGCCACAGTTCCACTAAAAGGCTTCTCCTGGCAGGTAGAGGGTTGGTGCAGCTCCACGAGAAGGATACCAGCAACATCGGGGGAGGTAGATGACAACTGACAGCCTAAGTAAGGAAGTGGCAGACCGAGTTGGCAAGCAAAGGGTACAGAGATGTAGGCAAGAGAGAGCTTGTAAACAAAGAGAACAGAGCTAGTCAGAGCCCTACGTCAAATGTAAGCACATGTAAGTGCTGCCTACAGGACAGCACGATGGGGGAAGCTCTAATACCTTTTTTAGCAAATCAGCATGATTAGATGCTTCTGTGAGGTGCCCATACACCAACACACACTCAGCATGGTGACCAAGCAGGAGAAATTAGCGGTCTGGGTGTAGTTGCAGGGCTATGATCTCAACGGGATCACTGAGACACAGCAGCATAGTTCACACAGCCCGACTACTGCCATGGCTGGATATGGGCTCTTTAAGGACAGTCTGGGATGGTGAGGAAGGAAAGCTGCCCTTTATGTGGGAGAGGAGCAGGGATGCATGGAGCTCTACCCTGCAAAGGACAATGAAAGCTGAGAGCTTATGGGTCACAGATGAGAGGGCAGACCAACATGGGTGACATTGTGGCAGGTGTCTGCTACTCATCACCTGATCAGGATGAAACATATGATACCTTGTTCATGCAGCTGAAGCAGCCTCACATTTACAGGCATCTGGTCCCCACATAGAACATGCACTACCCTGTTACCTCCTGGAAGGGCAACACAACAGGGAACAAGCAACCCAGAGGGTTTTTGGAGTGCACTGATTATAACCTCCTGAAAGAGGTTACTTAGGAGCCAACAAGGGCGGGCACTCTGCTGAACGTCATAGTTACAAGCATGGAAAAACTCAGTAGTGATGCGAAGGCCGGGGCAGCCATAGCTGCAGTGACCATGACACAACAGAGCACAGGATCCCAAGAGGAAGAAGGATCAAAGCAAGAAGGAGGATCAAGAATGCTCCAGAAGAGTTCACAGGCTTTTGCCGACATATCAGCAACAGGAAGAGTAGGGCACCATGACTGAACAGGGCAGAGGACCTGCTGACAGAAGATATGGAAAAGCCCAAGTTACTCGCTGCCACCTTCACTCCTGTTGTTACCAGTGAGAGCAGGCCTCAGGAACCCCAGGCCTGAGCCAGGCAGTGGCCTCAGGAACCCCAGGCTCAAAGGGCCTTGACCAGCGGCACGAAGCCCAGCTGGAGACCTGGCCACACTGCTGTATGCCAGGGAGCAATGCCCAGGCCGGGCCAGCATGGTCTAAAAGCTTCATTAGCCAAGATGGGTGATGGGACAGAGCTCACCCTCGGCGCGTTTGCAGGGAACACAAATGCAGAGGAGAAGTCAATACCCCCAGAGGGGTGTGCTGCCATTCACAGGGACATCAGACAGCACACATGAGCCAGCACATGAACCTCGGGAAGTGTCAAGGGCAATGCCAAGTCCTGCTCCTGGAGACAAACCACCCCAGGCACCAGCACACACAGGGGCTACGCAGCTGGAAAGCAGCTTTGCAGAAAAGGCCCCCAGGGTCTTCAATGACCAAGGGGAACGTGAGCCAGCCACACACGCCATGGCAGCAAAGATGGCCAACAGCCCCCAGCCAGCAGGTCAAGGGAGGTGATCCTTCCCTGTGTTCGGCCCTGGTGAGACATTTGGAGCGCTGGGCTCCCCAGGGCAACAGACACAGGGACATACTGGAGAGAGTTTGGGAAAGGGCCACAAAGCTGATGGACAAACTGAAGCATTTCTCACATGAGGAGAGGCTGAGAGAGCTGGGACTGTTAAGCCTTGAGAAGGCTCACAGGGATTTTATGAATGTAGATAATTACCTGAGAAGAGGGACTAAAGAAGAGAGCGCCAGGCTCTTCTCATTGGTGTCTTGTGACTGGACAAGAAGCAATGGGCACAAATTGAAATACACTAAAAAAGGGTTTAAATGTAACTTCATGTTAGGGTTATTGAACACTGCAACAAGTTGCAAGGAGTGGCTGAGGAGTCTCCATCCTTGGGAGATATTCAAAGCCCAGTTGGACAAGATCCTGAGCAATCTGTTTCAATTTTAACTACTTTTGGTCAAAGGAGGTTGGACTTTATGATCTCCAGAGGTCCATTCAAACCTCATCCATTCTGTCATCCTGTATCAACAAAGAAATAGAAAGGATTGTCATGAAGGAAACTCATCTAGCTAAATACCAACTCTTTCTGACCAGCACTGATGGTCTCTAAAGGTATAATGATGACAAGATGGATTAGTGGCCATGTGGTGGTATAGGTTGTGTGTCAAATCCTGCTGTGAAGTGAGGTTTTTAAGGATAATACTGTGTGCTAACAAGCACAAAGGCTAGTCCGACTACAAGTATTGAAGGAACAGCCTCATCAGTTCCTACAGAATCACACAATCTACTAGCCTTACTTTCATTCCTGTGAAATCCAGGACTTTTGCAATGTCTCATGCTTCAGCAGGGTTGACAATAGTAACCATTCCCTACTGACCCTCATTAACAGCACAAATGCCTGTGCTAATATTGACTGTTCACAGCGAGAAACATTGCTTTGAATTAAAAAAGACTGAAAAGTGTCCAGAGGATCCTGGATACTCCAAGTCCATAGCTGGCACCACATTTATCCAAGAGATGCATTTTTTCACCTATTTCTACTGATTCATCAAGCGTTATTTTCAGACTAAAGCCTCCCAGAGAACATAGGATTAATTTGACCAATAATAACAGTAAGAGCATCGTTGGCTGGCATTATCCATTGGAATAAGGACAATACTTCAAGCTTTTATGACTGTGTATTTGAAGGCAAGTCTTTTTTGGCAAAACCACGAACTTTTGAAATGAAATCTATAAAAAGCTGAACTAAAAGAAACAGGACAAAGGTTTTGCTGATCAGGTCTTTGATTTTTAAAGTAACAGAGGCATTCCCTTGAGAGTTAAGGCCGTTGAGATGCACAGAAGATAAACTGTTGTTATTTTACCTTCATGCATTAAAAACGCACATAGTCTTCTGAATACATTGTTTAACCTCAAGTACATACGCATCCACAGCAACACAGGTTTGAGTGTCACAAATAAGAAATCTAATTTTATAATTATTTTCCTTGAAGACAAAGATAATCTGTTAGACTGATCTCTCCCTATAATAAACAAGCCTCAAATCCACACATCAGGTGTGTGGGATCTTTCAAAACAGGCAACCTACTGTTTTGCTTAGGATTGCCACATTTTGCGCTAGTTAAACAATAGATCAAGTTGGACTGCAACAATGTATGGACACAGTCCGCAAACCCAAGACTGTTCTAAAGGAAGGAGTAACAAATTTCAGTTAACAATACAATTTTTTTTCTGAAGCCCATAGAAAGTTTACAAAATGTAACTGTAAAATGGAATTTTTAACACAAAGTGGGCCAAAATAATGCCTAACTTATAGAATCTGTTAACCTTTTCCAGAAAAAAAAATCCCAAAAGGATTCAAAAAGCATGCCCAAGTACAGCTCCATTTTACTGGATTCACCTGCAAGATATAGGCCACTGTAAGCATTAGATGTCCCAGTCGCTATGGAATTAAAGCAACATAAAGTGGATAAAGTAAATACATGCTACCTTGAGAGCAAGCTGTAAAATTATATTGAAGATGTACTTTATAAACCAAAACTGTAATGAAAATTCAAACAATACAGCAAGCACTACACAGCATTTCTCCTCCAGAAAAAAGTCTTGGTTTAAGGTACATCACCATGTAATTCCCTTTGAATAGACTTTTTTCCTTGGTCTCTTCCTCTTAAGTCCCTGCAAAGATTTCCGATGAGTAGAGTTTGAGAATTTCTTTAAAAATAAATTGCTTTTTTCCCCTCACAAATCAAACAATACTTTGACTAAAACTGATGAGCAGCTTCAGATGTCCCCGTGCTCCTCATTCCAAAAGATTAAGAGGCAGA